CGGGCAACTGAGGTTTTGTTCATAAAATCTTTTCCTACACCAATGTCTTCAAGAGTTCTACCTAACCTCTGTTCCAGCTGATTCAGCGTTTCTATTTTAATATTTAGATCTTTAATCCATTTAGATTTTAGTTTAGTGCATGTACACTTCTTTTTTTTATAAACTAAGAAATAACATTTTTATTACCAATGTATAAAGAAATTTGGTATTAATTTTGGAAATTAATGTGGATGAAGTGTTCAGAGAGAAATGCTAGGAAGTCGTTCTGAGAACATTTAATATATATATGAATACATACAGCTTTAAATTTGAAAGATGTTTTATGCTGTATGTCTCAGTTACTTTTTCTTGTTGCTGAGGCAAAATACCCAACACCCAAAGTTAAAGGAAAAGGTTTATTTTGGCTCACAGTTTGTAGAAGTTTCAGTTCATAGTTGATTGGCTCCCTGGCCGTGTGCCATGGCAGAGGGGCATCACGGAGGAGAAACAGTTCGTAGTGGGCAGAAGGCAGGAAAGCATCAAGTGAAAAAGTAGCAGCAGCTGCATCAAGTGACAAGTGATGAGCATCAACCCTCTTTCCCTTATTATCTATCCAAGCTACCTACCCTTGTGGGTAGCACTTACACCCAGGGTGGGGCAGATTTAGTCCTAGCATCACACCGTGAATCAATCCCAACATCACATCCTTGATCCCAACACACCCTAGATCAACCACCTCTGAAAAACCCCACCTGTGACCTACTGAGGCTTTGGGGTGACATCTAGATACAAGCCATAGCACTATATAAAGTCCAATCATTTATTTTTCTAAGTGGCTTGTCATATATAACATAGACAAAAAATAAATATATATGGATAATGAATAGCTAGCCATGGTGACACCTTCATATAATTATAGTACTCTGGGAGGCTGAGGTAGGAGAATCAGAAATTTGAGCCCTGCCTGGGCCATTTAGTGACTTATTGAGATCTGTCTCAAAAAAAGAAAAAAAAAACTGGGGATGTAGTTCATTGCAAGCGTCCTGGGTTCAATCCCCAGTGCTGAGAAGGGAAGAAAAAAGGAAAATGAATATATATATATGATTGAGATAATTTTGTCATTAAGCATTAAATTTAGAGAAATCCTAAAATGAGAAAGTTTTCTTGTGGTTTAATATATATCATTTGGCATGATTTTTTTCTTAAATTGTATGTTAATGTTTGATTTAACTTTGACTTAAATCTTGTCTTGTAGATGAAGCACTGGATGACTTAAAATCCCAGAAGAAAAAAATAGTAAGTTAACTTTTATTTAAAGTTAATTTATATAAATTACTAAGTTAAGAACTGGATAATTAATGTTTATATGTTATAACTTACTGACTCCCCAAGTAACAAGTATGCTTTTAGATAGTATTTTAATGATAGTTAAATTATCAATACTTTTACTAGTTAATAATAATTGACAAGAAAAAGTAGTTTAGATGGACTTTTGAAAGTCTGAGAACCTCTGTTAGTTGGAATTAAATAAATCATATTGGAGAACTAAATGAGGCAAAGGGTAAAAAGATTGTTTATTAGAGGTAAACATGGACCAAATATCTACATATGTCAGCTCTTAGGTTTTCTTGATAATGTAAGTTCAAGAGATAGAGAATAGGGCCTGGGATTTAGCTCAGTGGTTCCAGCACCTGCCTTCCAAGCACAGGTCCTGAGTTCGAAATCCGGTACCAAAAAAAAAAAAGAGAGAATCAAGAAGATTGGTTGTAAGAGACAAAGTCAACATTAAAAGCTGAAACAACAACAACAAAAAGCTGAAACAGGTGGGAAAGAGAATTTTTTCCACCATCTTCCACTTTCTTCTAGTAACACTGATCATATGGGTGTCTCTTATGAGGCTAGTGAAAGACATCCTTTTTATGTATTGGAAAGAGGTTCATGAGTCAGAGGAAGGGCCCTGGGTGTTTAGACATTGATATAGTGAGTTGATCTTGACTTTGTGGCCTTATAGTTTTAAAATGTGATTATTTTTAAAGTATGAAAATAGTTACTGCTAATACACGGTTAATGGTAACTTACTAAATCAAATTTAATTGGTGCAAATGATCAATGCATTTTTGTCTAGTGTGAAATAAATTGTGTTTGTCAGCTTTTAATCATTTGGACAAAATACCCGAGATAATCAGTTTATAAGGAGGAAAGGCTTACTTGGTTCATAGTTTCAGAGGTTTCAGTCCATGGTTGCTTTAGCCCTGTTGCTTTGGCCCTATAGTAACACACTACATCATCATGGGAACTTGTGGTGGAGGAGGTCTCTTCATCTCATGGCAGCTGAGAGGCAAAGGTAATGAGAAGAAGAGGCTGGGGTTCCAGTATTTTCTTCTAGGGCACACTCCCAGTAACCTAATTTCTTTCTTTCTACTTGGCTCCACCTCCTAAAGATTCCATTACCTGCACAAGTTGGTAACCAAACTTTAACACTTCAAAGTATAGCACAAATAATAATTATGTATGGAACTAATAGAAATGATAAAGATTAAGATAAATGTTAAAAATTGTTATATGAGTGGGTAAAAAAGACACTGGTCTTGCGTGCTTTAAGTACCTGAAAAGTAAAAGAACTTTAATACTGAAGGATTCCGTATGTATGTTCATTTATTTGGTGGTTCTTCACAATTTTAATGTTTCTATATTAAAACATGGAAGTATGTTCATTATATCTTATTATATTTTTGCAATTTTGTACAGTATGGAACAGCCAGAAATTCAAACGCAGAAATACTGATTGTTTCACTGATACAGAACTTGTGGTAGGTTGGTTGGCTTGTTGATGAGAGAAAAAGAAGTGCTCAGAATAGTTGTGAGAGCCAAACTGTACTAGTACCAAACTGAAAGATAATGATTAAAACATTCATTCCCTTCTTATCCATTGTTTTGCTTTCCATAATTTCAGTTATATAGTCAGCTGTGGTACAGAAATAATGAGATGAACCATGTATGGTGGTGGATGCCTGTAGTCCCAGCTACTTGAGAGACCAAGGCAGGAGGACTACTTAAGCCCATGAGTGTGAGACCAGCCCGGGCAACATACTGAGGTCCCCATCTCAAAATCAAAGCCAAAAATTTTAATGAAAAATTTCAGAAATAAACAATTCATAAGTTTTAAATCATTTTTATTATATTGTTATGATTTTTAAATTTTATATAGTTAATACTGTTAATTTGTTATTGTTCCTAATTTATAGAATAAACTATTATAGGTAATGGGTTTACTACTTTCTGAAGTTTCAGATATTCACTAGGGGTCTTGGAACACATCTCTCATGGATAAAGGGGGACTACTGCAGAAAAATAAGGAAGACCAAAAAAAAAAAACAACACCAGAACAAACAAACAAAAAATCCTAAGGCACGAGAAGCAGCACAATGTCAGTAATGTCACATAACCAGAAAACAGAATCTTGAAGAATGTGTGACTGGTGAAAATCTTGTAGAGTAACAGAGCAGACTTGAAAAATTCTGTGAAAGCCAGACTATAGTATTTACTACTTTAATTGCCCTGGAAGGAATAATGACATAAAAATACTACATCTGACAGCAGTTGGGAAATTCAGTTCAGTGGTCTGTAACTGTGTATTTCAGTATTACAGAATAGTTCAGTATGGCATTTCTCTTGCAGTATGACTAAGAAAAATAACCAGGCTCTAATTTTATTAATTACAGAACATAATGTTTATCTACTTGATTGTTATTGGTTATAATACTCTGGCTGTGGGGAGCTAGTCCAACAGTTGGGAACTAGTTTTTACTGTTCAAGACCATAACAAAACTGCTTTGTTGGAATTAATCTTTGGTCATCTAGAAATTCTTAAATTTGGACCTGTACATTTTTGTCACTTAAGTATTTTGTGGTTCTTTAAATTTTTTTAGTTTTAAAGTTTTAATCACTGTGTAATCTGTGCAATAGATAATCCTTTTGCACCATGATTATTCCTTTAAACCAATTCAAAGTCAAGATTTATCAAAATGCATGAGTCAGAATTACCTCTTTAAATGGCTTCATGAAAAAGCTGGGCTTTTTTTCCAGAATAGTGTTTCTGTTTGGTAATTCCTCGCATTTCTTAGGAAATTTATGCTCTTCCAAATCCTAAGAAAAATCAGTTAAGAAATTGTGAACATGGGGAGAAAATGTTATAATTCTCTGAAATTAAAATTCATCAGTCAACTACAGATGTTACAGATTCAAAGGAATCTACAAGTGTTAGTTGAAAGAAAAAGTAAAAAATGCTGACATGCTGAGCTACAGGTTAATGTCAACATTTCTGGGTGCAGGACAGGACATGTAAGAGAAATAGCACAATCTAATCAGTGTGGCTCTTCTGGCCATATTAGAAGCATGCTTTTATGGCCCTGTCTCTTATTAATGGTGAGTCATTCTTGCAAATAAGTATTAATGTGTATACATATAGTATAATTTAAATAAATCCTGTGAATGATATACCATGAAATAAGTTTTGGAAGCAAAAATAAGTCCATAAATTAATTGGTAGTATCATCATCTGTTTCTGTGTAGGGTTGTTAATTTCACTAGAAGTTTCAAATTATAGTTGTATATTGCCAAATAATATTTGCTGGTGTTTTCTAGTGTTTAAATATTCACTGTCGGCTACAAATTAACAGAAGAAATGCACAGAAAAAAACATGTGGAATACTCTTAGAAATCAGAAAATGATATAAAATCTAAATTAATGAAAACATTATCAATTTCAACATTAAACCAAAATCATAGTAAGCAGACAGGATTTTCATCATCATAACAATAGGGTTTATGTGATAGAATATTCACTGATACTCTGGTTTGAAAATGCTTTTGGGTCCACTCTCAGTATAATTTGACCGAAGCTAATGAAAAGTGGAAGAAAGCTTTCTATATCTGGCATAGTTTTTGTGAACTAAAGGTCAAGGATACTAGGTACAGTAATTAACGCATTGTGTGTTTTTAAATTTTCATTTTTTTATTAGTACATGTTTGTAGTACATAATGATTACATTCACTGTGGGGTTTTGGTATATGTACATAATACATTTTAATTTTTAATTCTTTTTAGAATGGTAATGTCAGTCTCCCCCTTTTGGGGCATTGAGCCCAGGGCCTTTGCACTGAGACCTTTGTACTGAGCTACATCTCTAGGCCTGCACATTTAAAAAATTATTTTTATTTTAAGAGAAGTTCTCACTAAATTGCTCAGTTGTCCAGGGTGGGCTCAAAGTGATGATCCTCCTGCATCAGCCTCCCAGAGTGCTGGGATTATAGGTGTGTGACATCACATTCAACTAGTATTTTCTTGTTTTAATGTTTTCTATAATGAAATGACTATATCAGATAGAAATTATTTTTACATGTTATATGTAATCTTGTCATAGTAATGTTGATTCATAATCAGGTACTTTTATTCTTTTAATTAATTAGAGACAGGGGTCTCCTTATTTTTGTCCTGGCTAGCCTTGAACTCCTAGACTTAAGGAGATATTCCTGTCTCAGCCTTCTGAATAGCTAGAACTACAGGCATGCTTCACCACACCCCATTATTTTATCTTTTTTTTTTTTTTGAGGTTAAAAGTAGGAAGATATTTATTGATAGGAAAGCTCCTGAGGGGCAGGAGGGGTCCTGAGTGGGTAGCCAAAGACCCCACTTTACAGAGAAGTTTTATAGGGTGTAACCTATGTGAGTACAACGAGGGCCACAGCCATGACCATCCAGGAAGGTTACAAGTATAGTCACTTAGGTAACGGTGGTCCAATTGGGAAGCAAGTCACATAGCCAGTATACAAGGATTTTCAGTAAGGGTGGGGGTCAGGGATATTTCCTAGAGAGGCTGGGTTAAGACCTTGACACCCCCCCCCCCAGGTGATTGATACCTATTTAGAATATCAATCACTGCTGCTTATCCCCAGGGGAAGCATGAGGGTGTGTAGTTTCTCTCCTTTTACAATTCTGGCCTTCATTGAATGTGTCTTGATTGTCCTCGTGTTGGCTCCTCCTGGGCTGGCCCTGTCTTGTCTAACTGCTTACAAGATATCTAATTAAGTTACCTATCTGCAATATTCCCCCCTCTGAAGAAGTACCCCTAACTTCTGTGAGGGGGCAAAGGTCGAAGACCAGTCTGGCTACTTCTAGCTGAAGAAGGCCATTGTTGTGATCACCAGTCAAAGTTACTCTGCAGAGGGTTTATCTAAAGTCCTTTGATAGGCACCAGGCATTGTCATTTTAAAGCCTTATAGCTTTAAGTCTGGAG